ACCACTTAAACGCCACTCATCTCTTGTACACAACAATCCACAAACAGGGACACAAACTCGACAGGCGAGAGGTTTAGGGACCTCCATATGACTATCAACTACTAAAAGATTGGAATTCATGTTGTGCCCAGGTGAAGAGAAGAAATACCACGTACCCTCATCTTGAAATGTTAAAAGGAGACGTGGGCGAGCAGACGACCTCTTCATGAATGCATCGGTGAAATATGGGTCGCGAAGAAGAGAGTTCCAGTTGTTGGAAACACATCGAGACCTCGCCACGGATTTGGTAGGCAGTCTGGAGAGTATTTCCACTATGAGATCAGTTGGCAGCTGCGTACGAGACTTTTTTACTAACCCATCCGTTGAAGATATGGTTAGGGGAGCCTCATCACTGGAGAGGTGCTCCTTCAGTTTTTTATTGGCGGCCATTGAAACCCTTTTGAGCTTGTACCAATAGACAAACACAACAGCCACCTATGGTTTATATATGGTCTTCCAAGATTTTACAGTTCACTAGTTACACGACAGCTGTCACCTTTTGGATTCTTTTCTTTTTCTACCATTGTTTTTATCTTAATTCTTATCTCTTTTGTAATCAAATATTTTTTACCTATATATTTCTTTGGTAGCACCTTTATTATCTTATTATATAAAGTAGGGTTAACAAAGTTTTTTTTTTTTTTTTTATTTTTTTTATTATTATTAATAAAACCCCTTAATGGGCTGGTCCCTTAACGGGCCGGTTTCGGATTACAAAAACGAACTCGGCTACCCAAGAAGGAAATCGGAGACTCGCCGGAAAGAAGGTCAGAAGATCGGATCTTGCTGTATAACCGGAGGCAGAGAATCAGAGCATTAGGACCGGCGAATTCGAGAAGCACGACGTTGCGGCAAGGTCGAGGGGATGAGGTACTCCGATGGGAGAATTCGAAACCCACCATTGAAACCAATCCGCCGACTCACCAACCTGCTACGATCCTCCCGGAATACTCAACTGTCCGACAACCGGTTCCGAGAAGTCAGATCCCAAACCTAGCAATCCGACAACCGGGAATCTATCCCCTCCGACCAAACCAGAAGCCTCGACGTCCTCTGAGCCAAAACACACCAAACCGGACCAGTGGAAACCACAAACGGCGGATCCGGCAGTTGCTTGGCTCAAGCAAACAAACCAGAACCAAAACCCGCAGGGGCCAGCAGGAACCGAAGGACCTACCGTGAACCACCGAATCTGAACAGCGAACCCACCGAGTCTTCACTGACTTCCGCCGTAGCCACAACAACCAAAGGGAAGGTTGAGCCAGGGAGAGTCTCCGATACAACCGCCAGCGTCTTCAACCAGGGTCATGCGCAGCGGAGCTCTCCGCCGTCCGATTGGAGCCGCCGCTACATCAGTGAAAAAGACACCACACCACCGCCGTCGGAGGAAGAATCGCCCATCACCGAAGCTCAGTTATGCCTATCACCCACCATCGCTACGCTCTGCAAGAAAGAAAGACAAAGGGGGGGAGGGAGAAGCCACACACGCACCGGCGAAGCCAGCGGAGGTACTTCCCCCTCGAGCAGGTTTACGGCTAGGGTTGTGGAAGAGAGAGGAGAGAGCGTTTTGTTTTGGGCCTCTCAAAGGCTTCTTCGGGTTATCAAAGTTAGTCATTAACAAGATCGTAACACGTGTTAATGCTGACACGTGTCAGATAATTAGTGGTAAAAATTAAGAGAAAATCTTACTAATAACCTTTTTATGATACCTTTTTGCAAAACTACCCTCTTTATCATTTTTATTTTTGCCCTCTCTTAAATTTTAATGACCATTTTAACCCTAATTAAAAGAATATTATTTCCTAAAGGAAGGAATATTCCTTTCAAAAATCCCCCTCCCAAAATTTCCCGCCAAAAAAATTTCCGAGAAAAGTTTTCCCGCCAAAAATCTCTCCAAGAAACTTTTCCCGCCAAAAAAAATTCCGTAAAATTTTCCCTCCAAAATTTTTTAAAACAAATTTACTAACTTAAAAAATTATATTTTTTTTGAATACTTTGGATATAACATTCGTACAATAAAATTATAATTTTATATTGAAAATAAATAGACCTTCTATTAGACGGACCCTAATTTATATTATAAAATACGGTATTCAATTAATATTGATTAATTTTTTCTTAATGTTATGATTTTCCAAATTTCAACACACACAATATTTTTAGTACATACGTGACAACATAAATTTTAATCCGCGTTTTTACGCTGGCCCTTATCTAGTTATATATAAAGCTTATTAGCCATAATTAGGTAGTAATTTTTTATACATAGATATATACACTTTATACATAGATATATACCCAATCATACCATTGATTTTGGGCCTTTGTATATATACTAGAGGAAACTCTGGACTACACCCGATATATCTTTACAATTAAATATTTTTTGAATTAATTAATTTTTGTGAAGTGACTCGTAATCTAGTAGCAAATAATAAGTTTACTAAGAACATGCACCATAATAACAAGAATTTTTTTTTGCTCTTATAAATATAGAAATTTGGCTAATGAATCGGCTAGATGTGGCCAAATATTCAGAAATTAAAAAAAAAAATCTTTTTTAATCATGTAATTGTGTATTAATCTATATTAACATTTTTGAAGTACCTTTTGTGTTCTACTCTTTTATTTTATGATATTTTCATAATTAACCTCTTGCCATTTGATTAAATAGAAAAAGTTTAAGATAAATTTTGTAAAATAATAAAATTGCAAAATTAGAAATCAATATTTATTACATTTAACAATTTTCCTAAAATCTCTCCCTAATCTATATTAACATTTTTGAAGTACCTTTTGTTTTCTACCCTTTTATTTTATACTATTTTCATAATTAACCTCTTGTTATTTTGATTATTAGAAAAAGTTTAAGATAAATTTTGTAATTAAATCATAATAAAATTGCAAAATTAGAAATCAATATTTATTACATTTAACAAATTTCCTAAAATCTCTCCCTAATAAATCAAATATTTCTCCAACATCTTTAAATGATCTTATTTGTTTTTAAATTTATATTATTACATAAACATATCTATGATAAAAATATAACTTTTTTTTGCATATGTTGCAATTTGAATTTTTAGAAACGGATGTATATTACTCAAACGATACAAAAATGGATGTACTAAAATATTATTGATAATTATGTAGCACGGGTCATGTGATGGAACGGGATATTTACATAATTATGATTATTGATACTTTTTCGGGTTGTCTACGTATAACTCACAAAATATTTTAATATGAAATTATACTATGTAAACGAATATCATGTCAATATCATTTCATTATTTTAAATATTATACTTATTTATTTAATTTGATCAAATTACGATTGTATAAAAAATAAATTATCATATAATATTTTACGGGTTAAATCATAGAATTAACAATCAAAATATAGTTGTACATTCTTATATACCAAACAAAATTAATAAAAAGAATACATTTTATGAATGTCGTCCCGCGGTGTACCGCGGGTTAAAATCTAGTATTTTAACAAAAGACAACCTACATTATGTGGTACTCTATATTTTTTGTAATTTATTTCTTTTGCAATTAATATTTAAGGTTTTGTAAATTCAACTTTTTTACTCCTTACGGTTAGTCTATATATGTAAATTATTTGTAGTTTGTTTAAAATGTAATTAATCGTAATATCAAAATTATGAATTATTTTTATTTTCATAAAGTATACTAGTTTCATTTCCCCCCAATTCTGTAGTTATCTTTATATATAAAGTTAACTTTTTCTCTCTTCTCCTTAAGCCACATCATCATCCACCTCATTTTATTATTTAATTTTTAAAATTAATTATACCATTTTATCATTAAATTTTAATATTTAAACCTATTTAAATAAGTTTTTCCAAAATGAATATGAAAGGTCTTTTTTATATTATGCATTATAAAACTAAAAAAGATAATTGATTAAGAGTTAAAAAACTTACTAATTATCGATTATACTAACAAATATATAAATAATAGATAATAGTTTTTAATGAATGTTTAATATATATATATATATGATTATATTTACACAATATAAAACTCAATATAATGGGATTTAACGGGAATAAAACAAAAAGTAAGAAATTTTGAGAATATAAATCTATCTAATTTATGTCTCAAAAAATTTTCTAACATAAGTGAGATAGGTCGGACCGAAAAATGAATACTTATTTTTTATAAACATATAAAAAGGTAAAAATAAAAATAATATTTCCTTGAAAGTTTCCAATATGAATTTAATTATTTGTTTCCAATACAACACATATGTTAAACTAATTAAAAAAATAAAAAATTAACTATATTTCATAAAATTGAAAATATAATAAAACATTATTAAATGAAATAAACTAAATTTAAAGTAAATTATACTAATATTTTAAATTTAAAAATTGTTCCATATGAAAAAAAAATATATATATAAAACATAAAATCAGAAAAAATATATAATAGTATATAAATGATCATTACGAGATATAAAGTACGACAAATCCAAAAAAGGAAAAC